TGCAGCACAGAAGATGAGAATTTCTTGAAAAGATTTTTTAGCAATACCATGGTCATCGATCTCATAAACTTGGACATGAGAAATAACAAAGATATCAATAACTGTAGCATTCTAGAAGATAACATCGTGCAGAAAATTAAAATCCTGTTTAATGCGAGCGAAGGTAGCGATGAGGGAAGGTGGATCAACTTGAATCTAAATCATTTTGATTATGATTATTTTGACAAGGTTGAGAAAACCCAGACACAAGAGAGTAAACAAAATAATTCTCAAACACGTGAATATGGAGTCCCATCAAGTTCATATATGAATATCGATGATAGCGAAGAGATTGATGATCGAGAAAGCATATTTTCAAATGATACCTTAACTTCTCAAGAATTTAGCATATTAACAAAGAATAAGAAAATAAATACGAGCAGTTCAGAATTAGATTTAGACATGCTTAATGATAATCTTTATTTGTACAGATAGTTAATCTTGTATCTAACACGTAATAAAATTTCTTTTTTTTTCAATTCATCTTTATATTGTAAATATGATTTTGAAATATGTTTTGCGTTTGGCAACCGTATTCTTTGGAAATGTGTAAATGTATATCATGTGTTAACTTGTAGAAATCATCATTTGGAATTGGTTATTTGAACCGAATAAAGACATCTGAAGTACACAGCACAGATATAGTAATCTTTTATACTTTTGGGTGGTACAACCGATCCTTACCGCTAACTAATTATAAATTGGTTGTTTGAATCTCTTTGTTTGTTAGTAGCAAAATGAAAGTTAGGAAAAATAAAAGTAAACAGGTACATGAGGAGTACCAGTATCTGGATCTTGTTAAGAACATCATCAAGAATGGGGAGAGTAGAGATGATAGGACAGGAACAGGAACGATTTCATTGTTTTCCCCGGGACAGTTGAGATTTTCATTGGAAGACGGTGCATTACCACTTCTCACCACGAAAAAGGTTTTCTTTCGAGGAGTTGTAGAGGAGCTTCTCTGGTTTATCAGTGGCAATACGAATGTGAAGAAATTACAAGAAAAGAATATCCATTTCTGGGATCAGAACACTAGCAGGGAGTTTCTTGATAAACAAGATCTTGGTCAGAACAAAGAATGGGATGCTGGCCCGATTTATGGATTTCAGTGGAAGCATTTTGGGGCAAATTATACCACGTGTGATGCCGATTATACCGGTCAAGGAATTAACCAGTTAGAATATATCATCGATCTGATCAAGAATAATCCAGAGAGCAGAAGGATCGTGATGAGCGCATGGAATCCTGCAGATATCAAAAAGATGGCATTGCCACCATGTCA